AAAAATCAAGTCACAAATGTTAAAGCCGAAAGGGCTATTATGATGTGGCAAGGGGAGAGCGAATTCGTTGCAAAGCTGTATTGGACGTTCTCTAGCAAGGACTACTTGTATCTTGTCATGGAATATCTGAATGGAGGAGATTGTGCTTCCCTCATTAAAGTTCTCGGGGGACTACCAGAGGAGTGGGTAAAGAAATATCTCGGTGAAGTTATTCTCGGTGTAGAGCATCTACATGATCGAGGCATAATCCATCGTGATTTAAAACCCGATAATCTGCTCATCGATCAAAAAGGCCACCTCAAATTGACTGATTTTGGTCTATCACGCATGGGATTAATCGGTCGCCAGAAGAGAGCTCTAAATAGTGGAAATGCTGAGCCTACACCCGATTTACTTAAGACGGGACCTTTTGTCAGGTCGACATCCGTGGCATCGTCTCGGTCAGCTTCACTTGACTTCCATGGCAGTCACCACTCTCCCGCTGCCACACCGCAGATAACTCCGGACAATGGAGTTGGGCAGCCGTCCTATTTCACCCTTTCACAAATTCATCCAACTGGTCAGCGTAGCGATAGTGGCGGTAGCGAAACGTTGGCGCATATGATGGGGAACTTCTCTTTAGGTGACCCTCAACATAGTCAAACTAGTTTGCGGTCTCCGCGCGATGATGTGAGTGATGGCGGCAATGCTTCTCCTGATTTACCATCGCTTCAACACACCAACAGCCACAATAGCGACATACATAGGAATACACCGCCTCAGTCAAGCATGATGCCTCCTCCAATGGCTCTATTCGACCCCGAAGACACAAACCGTCGGTTCGTAGGAACTCCCGATTACCTCGCTCCCGAGACCATTAAAGGTGCCAGACAGGACGAGACGAGCGATTGGTGGTCAGTCGGCTGCATTATGTTTGAGTTCCTCTATGGTTACCCCCCTTTCCACGCCGATGAAGCGGAACAAGTCTTCGAGAACATACTCGGGCGAAAAATCATGTGGCCAGATGAGTCAGAAGACGAGGTATCGTCCGAGGCGAAAGACCTTATCAACAAATTGCTCTGCATTGACCCGCAGCAGAGACTGGGTTCAAATCGCGAGGGGAAACACGAGTCTGGCGGAGAAGAGATTAGAAGCCACCCTTGGTTTGAAGGTATCAATTGGGCTACTCTACTACAGGATGATGCTCAGTTTATTCCCCAACCTGAGAATCCTGAAGACACAGAGTATTTTGATGCTCGAGGTGCTACTCTACAGTCTTTCACCGAAGAGATGGAAGATCAAGCTTCGCCTCCATCGGTCGCGACACCGGATTATCCTGACCGTCCGCACGACGCTTTATCGCGTGTCAGGTCTCAAGTTCAGGTCAACCAGATCAAACGAGGCTTAATGCCACTGCACATACCTCCCCACATCCGAGATCTAAAGAGTCGTCGACTTAGTGAGCCGGTGGCTTCGGATGACTTTGGAACATTTGCTTTCAAGAATCTTACAGTGCTTGACAAAGCCAATAAAGACGTTATCCAGCAGTTGAAAGCTCAGGCGATGGCGGCACAGAACAGATCCGGAACGAGTCCAGGTGGGAATAATCCCACTTCTCCAGGTCCCGGGCTCGAAGGGAGCCCGATCTTATCCAACCCAATACAACGCAACTTGTCCAATGCTAAGGCGTCAAACTCGCAGCGCCCGGCATCGCCTTCCACGGCTAGTCACGCCAACTCATCTCCTAGCCGTGCTTCTCAGCCGTCTTCGCCACTCCTCGTATCCTTCCATGCAGGTCAAGGAGCAGAGGGTCGCAGGAAGGCCTCGAGCAATTCTTCAAGTCTGTCGCAACAATCTGGCTCTGGATCGTTGCAGCCTGGAAGCTTCTTTGATGTCCCTCGTACTACTCCCAGCCTTCAAAAATCAGCAACAGCAGCTTCTCCGTCGCCCGCGAAGGGTAAAGTTGCACCGCCTCCGTTGCCGTTACCGTTATCGCCGCATAAAACAGTAGGAACTCCAAGACAGCCAAGCGAATCCTCGACACGATCGCGATCTCTAACCGTAGGCTCTCAAGAAGGTAGTCCTGTAGCTGCTGACCTTCTTGCACACCATCGCAATCGTCGAAGCCAAGTTTTTGACATGTCTCCTTCGTCTTCGGACAACGAAAACGAACGGGCGAGTGCTCTTCTTAAAGTGCAACGACGTCGCCAGTCCTCTCGTAGGATGTCGGCTATTGTACTTGACAGTCCATCATTCCGTTCTTTAGACGTTCTAATTTGCGAAGACCACCCAGTTTCACGAATGGTAATGGAGAAGTTGCTCGAAAAGCTGCGGTGTCGTACCATCTCCGCGTCGACCGGCTCAGATGCAGTTCGATACGCGGTTAGCGAAATCAAGTTTGATATCATATTTACCGAGTTTAAACTGCCCGAAATAAGCGGTTCTGATGTTGCTCGGATGGTACGCGAAGTCAAGAACGTCAATGCCCACACGCCTATTGTTGCAATTACGGCCTACTTGAAGGAGTTACAAGCTCCTCATTATTTCGACTCACTGATTGAGAAACCCATTAGCTCTTCTAAGCTGATCGAAGTTCTTTCTAACCTTTGCCAATGGAAACCACCGACACCAGGTCAAATTCAGTCACTACCAATTCCAAACCCTATCACCAGTGTGAGACTAAAAAACCCACAGATAGGAGACAGTCCCACCTCGGTATCATCTGGATATGCTCACCCAGGCAGTAGTAGCTTCAGGGGGTCGAGCAGAGAAGATTCTATCAGTTCTAGTTTATTTGGGGACTCCGAATCCGCGACGACCGATGAAATACCTGTGGTCCCTGGCCGCAAAGGTGTGGGCGAGTGGGGAGAAGAGTCTGGCCTTGGCATTAGTAACGAGGAGACGCCTGGAAGTTCCGGAGGAGTCTCGAAAATGCCTATTCCACTCATTTCTCAACAATCAGCCCCAGCCCAGATGGAACAACCTAGAATGCCAGCTCCCCGGCGATCTTTAGAGAAGCTTCGGTCGAGGCGTGAACATCTCGAGAAGCGGCGTACAGAAGGTAATGACTCGGCAGATGATGAAGATGACGAGCTTGGCACGCATCGAGATCGTGGGTTCCGTGGTAAGCAGCCGACTCCTAGCTCAAAGCTCGGGATTGAAATGATGAGAGCAAATAGTCACGATAGTGTTGCTATCTCATCATCCGACACTACCCCGGAACCTACAACTCAGGTAGTCACTCCGTCAAGGGAGAGTGATGTTTCACCATTTTCAGGTGCTATATCGTCATCTACAGCCCCCTTGCAGACACCACCAGAAGTTTCTTTAACGCTCAATCCAAGTACCACTGGCCAAGGTCCCGACACAACACCAAAATCAACGACGGCGACTAGAACAGAAGACGAGGAAGCAGCCGAAGAGCCAACGCCACGACCACATGCGAAGTCTTCTGAGACTTAGGCACTATTTTAACAGATCGAATTTGAGTTTTCACGTTCGACATTACTTGCGTATGTCACATATTTGAAACGCCACCCATCATCATCACCACATAACAGTCGTTTCTATAAATGAAGTCCACAGCAACGGCGTTTTTTCGGGTTTGGAACACGCATTTTCTCTCTATTTTTTCCTTTTGTGTTCAAAGTATGGACTTGTTAGCAACGGAGTTATTAGGCACACGGGACTTTTTTTTTTTTTGGTCGTTTCCGATGGTGGCCTATTTTTTGAGAAAAATAAAAGACGCCCCGGACGGACAGATAGTCAGAAATCGGGCGGGGTTTGTCGTTGTCGCATTTACACTACTTTATTTAAGGGGGGAGAAAAAACTCCACTCCCCCCTTCATCTCGCATCAATGTCGTCTTGTTGTGCTGCCATGTCTGATTTTCACCCGTGCAAAATCGGTGTTTGAAATCCATGTTGCGCAATCTCGGCAGAATCCAATTTACTCCGTTCCTTTTTTGATCGGTCGCCTTTCATCGTGTGTCTGTCTGTCTAGTGTCCTTGTCCCGTATACCAATCAACCGGTGTATTGCGGAGAGGAGAGCAGCTCGACAACTAGGAGAAAGATGAAATATGAGCTGGATTTTTTTTTCTTCGCTTTTTTTTCTATTTCTTTTTTTTTTTTTTTTTTTCAAAGCTCATGTTGCCTGTCTAGGCAAGTTTTACGATCTTCAGGGGAAGGGAGGAGTATTCGGATAGCCTATTAGGCTTTTTACGTTTTCCGAGTTCCGGAGCAGAATCCAAATACACACAGCAACAAAAAAAAAGGAGTAAAAAAAAGAGAGAGAGAGAGAACAGTTGATACGAAACGAAACGAATATAAAAATTCGTAGAATGGATGATTTAACGAATTTTATGGAGATGATGATGATGATGTGATGTGCGTGTGTAAGTTTTTTTCGTGTCGTCTTGCGTGGAGATGTGAATGAGGTTCCTATTTGGGATTCCTGTGTATTCTGCTAGGAGTGATAGGATGGATAGATGGATGCATGGATGCATGGTGGGTAATTTGTTTGCGCGGGGGAACGAAGTGAGCGGCAAGTATTGATGTGAGAGATGGTAATGTTTTGTAATACGTCGTGATGATGATGATGTTGTTGTTGTTCCGTCCCCTATAACCATGTAGGCGTAGATTTGGCATGTGCTATGCTATGCTGTACTGTGCTAAGATGAAGGTTGTACTCTTACACCTTTTCAGCTTGAATAATCGCTTAAGACGACCTTCTACATAACACAAGGCTATAATCACTAATACTCAACACTCGAAGGTGCCGGTTCGATAGCACTATGTTCATTGCAGTCGTATTTACTCTAGGTTCAGATTCCTCATTCTCTCTCTCTCTATTTGAGGAGTTTCTTATGTACACGTGATAAAAGTAAAATAAAATAAACAAAATAAAATACAACGCTCCTTGATGACCCTCATTCTCTCGTTTCGTGTTCTCGTCTCATCTCGTCTCGTCTCGTCTCGTCTAGCGGCTTATAAATCGCCGAGCTCAAAGTAATCGTGGGTTCCCTACGCCTCTTCTAGCAGTGAAGGATGCCAGGGAAACAAGACTTGTCCTATATGGGCCCCCTCGAAGAAACAGAGGCCATTGAGCCACCGCTTGATGTATAGCTTCGGTGGCGTGCAGGGCGAACGTCCCTCGGATCTGTCGCGCTTCTGCCACTCGATGTCGACCTCCAGCGATACGTGTTTTTCAGTATACCCTGGCTTGTCTTCATTATGGAATTGGTATGAAGTAAAGGCATAGCTGACGTCGTCCTCGTCCTCGTCCTTCCAATCATCGCGGCTGTCGCCTACGAAGACAGCACTATAGGGACCGTATTCTATTCCATTCCTAGGGTCTACGAGACAGGCTAGTCGAAGGGCCTTTCCTTGCATCAGGGCTTCCTCGACTTCGCCGGCCATACTGTCAAGCCACCACCCCCCGCGGTATGGAGAGCAGCCGCGGGCGTATGCGCGTCTAATTAGATCGGCTGCGATATCCGCGTAAGAAGCGCCGTATATTCTATATTGCAACTCAGTAGCAAATTGTGCAAGCGGTTTCAGCGTACTGTACTTCTCATACTTCATTGGTTTCCGACGTATGACTTTGCCTAGTTTCCAAAGGTGGCCTCTGGTCCATGTTCCCTCCGGAGTCAGTCGCGGATTCGTAAAACGACAGCCTTTGATGAAATTAAGGCCTTGCTGGACGGGAGGCCGAAAGTTACTTAGTGATTGCTTAGACAGGTACTCGTGGATGTTGTGTTTGAGTGTACCCAGGATGGGTCGTTTTGGGTCGTTCTCTATGATTTCGCCATTTAGGAGATATTGGGCAAGGATCGATAAGCTGAGGCTAGTTCCATCGTTATTTAGAGAGTTTGTGTCGATACGAGTACCATACTCGCAACAGTTAGCCATGATAGCAAGGCGGTCGGATTCTTTCTTAATGCTGCGCGAAATTATGTCTGAAAGGATCGTTGGAGACATAGAACGCGATGCTGAGTACGTCGAAGACTTGTCGTTAAGGAGGACATTATACTTTGTGGCCCTCTTAATGACCCTGTTACAGATATCCACATTGTCTGATCTCTCCCGATACGAGAGGCAGAACTCCGTAGCCCGCTCCCTGAAGTCTACAGATTTTATACAAATCTCGCCTTCGACGTTTCCAAGAATGTACCGATCAGACTCGTCTACCATAGCTCGTTTACGCCTTTCTAAGCTCCAGTGGTGTGGGAGAAGCAACATCATTCGGGTAGAAGCTCTATAGTCTTCCTGAAAAGTCCAGGCTCTCGTCCACCATAGGTCAGATGTAATGCCATCTAGAAGATCTAATACGGCTAGTTCATCTTCGGGGGCAACTTCGTTACACATTAGATTGGTAAGAAGATCGAGCTCTTCTGTAGTCTTGATCCTACGCGTGAGGAGGGCAATTGGCCACTTGCTTAACTTATACACCAGGTGCATGCTTTGTATTGCTGCCTCCTTCTCCGCCTCGTTATCCTGATCGATACACTCCTTGTCGATCCAGATGTCCTTACATCCCATATGCTCGGCATAGTTTAGTACTCGATCCAGGACCGCAGGCCTCACCTTAGCTAGGGTAGGCTGGCCGATCTTGTGAGGTGCGACAAGGTAACGCCTTGCCGCTTCTTTTCTTGCCTCCTCTTCTGCCTCTTCTTCTTTCGAGACTTGCCAGGTGTAAGAAACAGCAACATAGGGTCTCCCTTTAATATAGCGTTCTTCGTTAGCGTCCATAAGATTAATGTACCTTCTCCTCAGAAACTCCGAGGAGTCGGCGGCGGCTACACTGCCATTGTCTACGCGTCTCCGCTTTCCGCTAGGCTCCTCGTTGTCCTTGGCTACATAAAGGCATTCGACGAATTTGAGCCAATTCTCCTTGCTGACAATGTGGCCATTGACGATGTTTAATACGGAGGAGATGAGAGAAGACGATGTTTGATCTCGAATTAAACCAAGAGGTAACGAAGTATCTTTTGTGACACCATTCTTCTCGGACATACTCAATGTCTAATCTCTAACTGACCAATTGATTCATGAATTCTGAATTGGTGATATTGAAAAGAGAGGGTTAGCGCATATACATTGGTAAGGTAAGTAGTAAGTAGTAAAGTAGTAAAGTATTAAAGTAAGTATTAAGAAGTGGAAATCTGGAAATCTAAAAATCTAAAAATCTGGAGTTCGGTTGTTTGAAACGAAAAAAAAGTGAAATACTCGGGGTTCCGAGTGGAGCCCGCATTAGCTCAAACCAAACGGGGCTGGTTGGTTCCTACCTCTTTACTTCCTACCGCCCTATCGCCCTATCGCCTAATAATTCGGCAATTATATGCTATTTATAGTGTTATTATGTGCTGTGTTCCAGCTCGTCACAATTATTACGACGTGTTATCGATTCGGGTATTTCATCACGCGATTGTTGCTTTTCGGAATAATTTCACTATCCTACATCGACATCAAATTTATTAATCCTGATGACTTATCCAATGCTCTTGTTGGTCAAGCTAAAATTTATTTCAATGATTCTGAGTCAAGTCGTTTCAGCCCCTTTTCAGCGTAAAAAGGTATGAACACATTAATCAGTCACGTCAAGCCATAGGTTTAGATAAGGGACTTTAGTAGATATCATATTAAGATTAGGTATACGCTATATATTTAAGACAACGCATTAGTCTAGCTTAGATCCGCTTAACCAGGTACCAGCAAAGAGAGATTGACGAGATATGAAGAACCAGGTATGGATGAAGGTTAGGAAGCCAACACTTCATCCAAAGTTCATTTCTATATAGTTATTAGCAATCGGTAAGAAGTTGTAAAACTACGAAAATACCTTCAATAGCTTCTAAGCTTAAACACTCATAGCTAGTCCTATACATCGCTTACGTCCCTACCCCCTATACCCGCATTACCAACCCTGAACTATCTACAGGAAGCTTTTAGGGTCAATGAATATATAGAAGTTACTCTCAATGAAATAAATAAATGCCTAAATAACTATTTCCATATACACTTCCCAAAAACTATATATAAAAATACCACGCCGAAATATATATATCACCAATGATCTATCCATCCACACAGGTACCTACCTACCTAGCCAAACCAAAGTCAAAGAAGAAAAGGGGTTCCCAAGCCAAGAAAGAACAAAGCCATCCCATAATTGCACCAACTAATCTCAATCTAAAATATCTACCCAGCTAATCGCCAGCCTTATCCCGTCCTCTAAACCAGAGGGACAAAATCGCCTTAATAACCATTACTCTGCTCTACTCTAGAGCTACATAGAACCAAACCAATACTTACCTAGGTACCTAGGTACCTACTTATATATCAAACAACCACACGAACCCTATGCATCAAGAGTATGTAACTAAACTCACAATCTCGCTATTCATTGTTCATACTTGGTCTCATGTCTATCTATGTATAACTCGCTTCCGAAGGGCAGACAGGTCAGACTACCTACCTAATAGCCCAGTCCGCCTCAACCTAACAGCCACAACCACAACCAACTCCCGCGTGCCAGCATGACAAAAGCCCGCCGGTCACTCGCTAGGGAGATATCTAACTCTCTCTTATAACCAACCAACCAACCAACTCACAATCTAATCCTCACCCACGGCATCACCACCCGGGAGGAATAATAATAATAACCGCCCTCAAAAATAAATACCCTCTGGCAACCACGCCATGGCGAGCGCACATGTCCTCATCGTCCTTATCCTCCCGCTCCCTAGATGGGTATTTCCAGCACAATTCCCCCATATCATTCCAGCCAAAAATACAGTGCAGCACATGCTTCCTCTCGGTTAGAACACGCTACATACCTCCCGGGCCAAAGCTCTTGCCCCCATCCGACGTATACTCGCCAACACCACCCTCTCCTGAGCCGGCAATCAACTCCGTCATATCACGCATGCGATAATCCAGAATCGGCGTGATCCAGTCGTCGTGCACGAGCGCGTATGACTCCTGGACGTTGTCTTTCGGCTTGCGCGGGTTGATGGCCCAGTACCCGAAGTCGGCGTCGATGCGCTTGAGGTACCGCAGCAGGTTCCGCCAGTAATTTGCGTCGCCGGCGCCGGGATGGTGCGGTGCGCCGAATTCGCCCACCCAGACGGGCGCCACGTTGTCTTCGACTAGGTACGCCCAGTTCTGGCGCATCGCCTGGATGAAGGACGCGTAGCTGCGCTTCGCGTACCGGCCCTCCCGGCTACCCCATCCAGACCACGCGTACACGTGCGCCGAGTACACGACGCGATCCGCCACATCGAGTTTGATTGGCCGCTCGCTTACCTTCGTCAGATCGTTCCCGGACTCGGTCCCGCCGACGACGATCAGCCAGTCGCTGTTCATCTTGAGGAGCCTGTTTCCGCATTTCTCGGCAGCGTCCGCCCAGCGATTCCACGACATGGTGCCCCAGACGCCGCGGACCTCGTTCCTGAGGTCGGCGCCGATAACCCTTGGATTATTCACAAACGGCTTCATGATTGTCTCCCAATGTTGTATCCACTCCTCCTCGGTCTGTGAGATTTTGCACAAGGGGCCGAATTGGTCGTTGGCCCAGCCGGCGTCGCACGGATCAGCGCCGCAGCACCACGTCGCACTTGTGATGTGATTGTTGAGGATGACAGCGATGCCGGCATCGGTCAATGCCTCAACAACGGCTTGAAGTATATCGAGAGCGCGTAGACCTACGAGGTCGGGATTGGCGGTGAGAAGGTGAGGAAGGATATGCGGGTTGCGGATGACCATTTCGTCCGAGTAAGGTAAGCGTACGCTGTTGAAGCCCAGCATGCGAATAGTTTCAGCAATCACGGACCGATGCTGTACTTCGAGTCCGCCGGGGATGAAGAGCTCATCGCTCGCTCCATACCAATTGACACTGGCGAGTTTATAGCGACGGCCGGTTGCATCGACGATATCCCGGCCCTGAGTCCGTAGAGGAAAGGTATAGGTTGCTATACTAGACAATTCCTTAAACGGGGGAAGAGGTCGCTGGCTAAAGAGTCGGTCGCCTACGTCCGGAACCCACGGTTCGTGAAGGGCAGCCTCGGCTTTCCACAGATAATGGACATAACCGCCGAGAAAGAGGAATATGAAGAGGAGGATCTGATACATTTTGTTATATTTATATAAGGTATATATCTCCCCAAAAAGATCGGGGGGTAACGATGGAATCGGGGGTTAAGTTAGGCGGGATAAGGAGGGTGCTATTCTAAATGGAGGGTTGAAGATAATCGATGTCCAGTATTCCGAAACAAGACACGACAATTAAGATGGATAATGATGGTATTGAACCCATCGTAACATGTGGGTTTTAATCTACGAGGATAAAATTATTAAATGGAAAAGAGAAGTAGAGACTAATGTCTGCGAGAGAGAAGATCTTATCGGGCTGAGTTAAAGCATTGAAGAATTGGTAGCCAGTCCTTCCGTCACGGAGTGAAGTTGGCGGGTTTAACAGGGTACGTACCCCACTATTGCATTAAGAGGTACCTAATGTACATACCCCTGGTACCTGGACCAGAGAGTTCATCAGTTCATCCAGAGCTCTTTATTACATAATCTATCCAACTCCTGCCCTACGAAGTACAATATGTAAAGTACCTAACCTACATGAAGGCACATATGTATGCACCTATGCACCTATGCACCTTGTACGCAACTGCAGCCCTATCGTTCTCGGTTCAGTGCTTCCAATCGAGGTGACATAAATTAAAAATACGAATCTTTATACTCTGGGAAATAAATATAAGTATCTCTGAGAGACCACACTTGAACAAGAAAGTAAAGGTCAAATTGAGGCTTGTAGCCCATTCTATTCATTTAGACTAATATAGGCAATCTATCCGAAGCCAACAAGCAAAGTGCTTAAAGAAACGAAACTGTCATCGCTGCGTAGCTTCGTTTCCCGGTCGGCTTTCATGATACTTCATTCTAGGCATCAGAGGCAAGACATGAAACATGCCAGCCAGCCGGCTTACCGCCATCTCTCCTCCCCTGAACCTGACGTCCACATTATAAATACTTATTTTTAGTCATACCATTTTGTCTCGCCTCGCTGCTTCTTTCCTGAGGCAACCCTCTCTTCTGGGGTATTTATCTTCCTAGATTTTCCGATGTCCCTGCCTATCCTTTGCAGTCGATCACGCCTCTAGGGTAAAGAGTGATTTTATCGATACAAAATCCGTCCAATCCCGAGACGCCGCGCTTTAAGCCTCAAAACACCATATGTTCAAGGCACTGAGCCGTTTTGATATGGTAACATCAAAAGAAAAAATTGTACACGATAGTGGTTATGCAGGGGACCTGCGTGAATAAAATGGGTTTTCTCAGATGAAAACATGGTCGCGATTATAATCGGGTGCTCCAGGCTGGGTATATTGAGACCTCGGAGCTTCGTATCGTTCTTCTTCGTCTCTCTGTATTCTGTTCATCCCTAATGGGTTCATATTTTCGTACTCGTGAGATTGTGGAGGCATTGATGGCAATGGATACGAGTCTTGGTACTCCTGTGTCGTTTCCCACTGTAGCTGTTGCGGCGGCCTTGGTGAAGAGAAGGACCGCTGGTGTGGTTGGTATCGTGCCGTTTGACCGAAGTAATCCGGCGTCTGGCGTCCACCTCGTGAGGTCGGCGACATTGTTGGGCTAATTGGCGTCAGCACGGTGTCTGTTTTTCCGGAATCGCGAGACAACATTTCATAAGACCGGGGGTCCTGCTTAATATCCATCCGAGCATCAACAGATACAAATTCTTTCTTGGTACGTGTACCAGTGTATGATCCGAATAAGTCGAGCCAGCCAGTAACCATTGACCAGCGGCCGAGTAATAAGAGCAGCCAAAGGCCGTTCATCTATAACTATTATTAGCCTCATATACCATCACTAATTTCCTATGATAGTTACTTACCGCTAGAAGTATTAAGACCGCCGTGACAGTTGGGAGACTGACTACTAATTCGTTTGCTAAATATAAGCATTTATTCTTATCAGCACCCGATTGGACTAGACAGGCCGCCCAGGTCAACGCCTTGTCGGGATGAGTCCTAATTGATTCCACAGTATTATCTATGAAGACAAAGATAACGGCGAAGAAGATGACATCTGCGATGATAACGAGCACAATGACAATACCACGCCATTGAAGTTGGATCACGCGGCGTATTCTTCGGTATGCCTGACGAGGAGTCATAGTGCGGATGCTATTTGAGTAAGAGGGCATGCCGGAGTTCTCGGTTGTGGCGCTATTGTCAGTCAGGGATGCGAGATAGACCTTAATGCAGTATCCGAAGGTGGCGAATTGAATGATAACGGTGAGACCTGCAAATACCAGCAGCGGAATCCAGAAATCGGCCAAACTGTTCTCGTGGTTGATATGGCACGTAGCTCCAAAGCGGAACGAAACTCCGCTGAAGACAAGGAGGATAATGAGGCCGATGATAGGTATACCCCAACCAAGCACTTGAGAAAACCACATATAATTCCGGCCCACGACTAATTGCCAGCAGATCTGAAGATGCAGGGAAAGCGCTCGTAAGAAAACCCACATGATACCAGCCCAGCCACCGGCCAGTAAGAAAGAACCCGAGGCGGCGCATACGGAACTCGTATCCATCCCATGCGGAGTGATCTCGTTATAACATTGCTCTGGCTTAGCTGCTAAAGGAATAATGAAGCCCAGCTGTAGATGATTAGCCAACTATACTCAGGCTGCATATCCCTAAACAAGAGCTAACTCACATTCATGAGAACAACAGCGCAGGCGAGACTGATACTCAGATAGTGGCGATGCGTCTTTTCGACGGGAAGCACAATCCAGGATATCAAGAGAAAGGCACAGCAAACCATGCCAACAACATTGACCCAGTTTGCTGCCGTCGTTGCCGTCTTGAAATTATCTGGGTAAGCCCAGTCTGTCATAGGGCAAGGTACACAACAATTCAAAGTTGCAAAGGGCGCGCATAGCCGGCCATCCACATCTAGAGGCTGATTAGACACACATTCAGGGATAAGATCGATTCGAGACTTACGTCCTCCATCCGCAGGGAACATGAGCTCATTGAAAAAGGGCGCGGGGCACCCGCCACGTAGGGCTGCTATCGTGTTGTTTGCCATATCGAGATTATCTCTATATCGACCCCAATCCTTGGGGATGCCTAAATAAATTTTAATCGTCGATATAAAATATCAATACAAACGTTGTCGTACGGCGCTAGCTATAAGGTGTATATGCTACTACTTCGATCCGAATATTCGACTCTGAGATGGTAGAAACCGATCCTGACGAAGCTGATGTAAACCGACTTGGGTGTCGCGTAAAACGAGAAAGGTATATCGCAAGCGTGTTCACAGATGTGACTATTAATCGAATCGTTCCTACTCGGTAGATCTTTAGGTCCACGGACTCTGTCAACTAGAATTATGCGCGCCAGAAAGTATATAGGTAAGGCGGTCGTCTAATCACTTCAGACCAACAACCAGGCATGGGCCGGGGGCGCGCGGCGAATGCTTCTGATGTGTAAGTGGATTAATAACTTATGTGGCGTTCATGGCCCCGAATCTCATGCAGATGAGGGTATTCCCATACACATGAATCACAAGTAGGGACGGGGAACATGAACGAAGAGAGACACACCAAAAAGCAAAAAGACCAGAAATACATGAATAGACAGAGACGGCAGGAGGAGAGGACATATTTAGGTGAAGGCACCGGAGTACATTACAGTACATGTAACCTAGCGAATAGATGGGGCGGCCTCGACTCTGAAAGCCAATCGACGGCGTATTGCCGGGGGCTTGGGGTAGCGGATACTCGATGGTTGCAACTCTTGGAGTGGATCGGTTCGCTTCTTGTGGTATTGTACATATGTATGTACCTAACTGCATATTACTGCACGTTAGGTAGGTAGATACGACAGGCATTGAGCACGAATAATCCTTGCGAAGTTACTCCTCTTGGGTCGCCCTGACGTATTTCGCCTTTGTACAACCTGGCCCGCTGAGTGGTGGAAAGGCTTACTTGGGGGTGTGCTCCCGGGCGGAGGCCGGTGGACTACATGGGGAAGCTAGAGTTCACCATCTGCCAAGTCTTGCCATCGACCATCCATCCTCGAGTTTGACAAGGGAACTTCCTTTGCAGTTCGGTCCACTAGAATTCCAGACAGTCTCCCCTGCTATCTTGGCAGCCTAGAAGAGCTCTACGCTTGGCTGTTTAGAGAGACGACGGGGCATTGTATACTCGGTTAAGTCGTGTCCCGTTTCGACTACTGTAGGTTAATTAGGTAAGTTCGGTCTTTTTTCCCATTAATAACCAACACTAATAAAATTGGCGCCTTGGTGAATAGCTTCGTGGAGAAATTTGATTTTGAGCAGCTTGGGCGGGCTCTGCTCTGCCACTGGCCTTTTGCCATCTGAAGGAACAAGGGATCAACTCTACGCTGAATAGGGTTCTACCGCAGATTCGCTGAATCCTACGCCTAGGTATGTCCAGTGGTTCTATGTATTTCGCATGTCCTCGGTAGTATGACATATAGTGGTTGGCCATTGAAGGATTTCTACTGGTGATCCATTGTCGCACAAATTCGCGGCACGCAGATAAATTCGAGTTTCTCCTTCTGAATGGTAGGGACATTATGGAGTACCTGCCCCCTAGTCTACTAGGCCTGCTTACCAATGGTATGGTAAAAGCATCGGGGGTTAAGGAGCAATTGGGCAACTCCAAAACACAGTTGATAGCACCTGCAGAAAATTACAGTTATTCCGGTAGCACGCTACAGGTACGTAGGTACGCAGGTAGGTACCTACCTCGATAAGATGCACCATCTATATTTTCGTTTCAAGTACCTAACATATTAGTACCTACATTAGATCACGTACTAGGCCGTCCCAAAGCCACTTACCTTATGGCACAACCCGCTGTCGGTATCGAGTTGAGAAAAGGATTCTCCATCTGCAAGTCATACATTAGGTACTTACATAGGTATCTTATGTACATATCTGAAGGATTTCTACATATTATTCTTTTATTTCCCTCCACATACAAACCGCGTGTGCAGTGCATCGCATACTACTCAGCATAATCAAAATGACAGGTCAAAGGGCGGGCCGAATCTATAAGGTTAAATCCATCAGGCTGTACTGCGGGCTGTTATTATTAGCTTCAATGTTGCCAACCGACCCATTTGGGGATCCATTTGGGGATGGCGACAGCCCCAAAGCCCGACGATTATGTACATTCGTATAATACCAAGACCTGCACCAACCTTGTCTAAAGAAATGCAGCTAAAATATCTCGCGTGCCGGTGAGACATAGTCGCAGGCCGAGTACACATGGAGTATAGGGCGGCACTTCCAGGTAATTGCAACTTATCGACGGCGAACTTGGCGACATCTTAAAAGGCCAAGAAACTCAACAAAATTCAAGCTTCATTACTTGGCACTTCGTAGCCTCGATATTTGTGCCGGCACTATATAATAGTAAGTCTTTTATATCGAGGTACATACATCTTAGACGTATTAGATTCCCTCCGATCTAGGGCTAGTCCTGCAGGTACGAAGCTCGCCGAAGACAGGCTAAAATGCAGTGTGACGGGTCAGACTGTCCCTGCATTAGGCGTATAGTCAATTGCTTTTTTACGCAGACGGAAGTCGTGTGCCGTCTAAAGGAGGGTAGGTGTAGGGCAACTTCTCGTAAGCTCGTCTATTCTCGCTTGTCGATATTTTGATATTTAGAGATGCGATTAGCTGAGAAGTCTATCTTATCTCAAAACAAGCCACCATGCAAATCATAAGACGCCTCAAAGTCGAGCCGTTCATCTGCGTTCCATAAAATGTCTAAGTAGCCTAGCCTACGGGTTCGAGACCATTGCCACTAACATACGAGAAGAAACAAACAGTTAGAAACAGCCACAGGTCCTGATTATAATGTCTTATTCTTACATTTTGCCAAGAATAAGAAATGAAAAACGAACATGCACATACAAATGCATATACACTGCATACATAGCACAGAACTTCACAGCACCATGTCTTAATATCGGTTAGTTCCTAATAAGCGAAGCGTTCTCGATGCCTTCTAGGATGTCGGAGCTCTTGGGAAATGTCTCAGCCCTGTCGAGCTCGCAGGCCTCGTGGCATCATCGGGTCTGTCGCTCATATTACTCCATCATATGGATATCATGCGAAAACAGCCCGACAGTCCGTCAGGGGCTTTCCCAAATTTCCCAGTGCCGGCCAAGCTTGCCTTAATAGGAAATCGCTTCGGAGACGATGCAACTCACCTGCACCGGGGGTTCCCAATCGGAAAAGAGGAAAATTCTATTAAGAGAAAAAAGAGAGAGAAAAAATTATGCGCCCCGCAGAACACGCGGAACGAACTATAGCAAATACTAACTAACAGGTACCTATGCATTGTACTTCATACCTGACAACGATGTACAACCATGTCAGCTGAAAATCTTAGGCCTTGTAGCCATTCGTATTCAAGTATTGGGATTAGATGCGGTTGCCATGCGGGTTCTCACGTAGCACGTAGCACGTAGCAAAATAGGGGAGAGAAAGGTATAGGTAGGCAAGAGGCGCTGAAGCGGTAATTGACCAATCCCTACAGTTCACTACAACCAGTCACAACAGCGTTCCGACGTGTTGGTTCTCGGAGCCGCTAGAAAATCGCTGAAAAGGTGGCCTCTCACAGTCGATAACATCAGCGGCGCACTTTTACTGGCTCATTCTTCTGCAGGTCTCGGATTTTGCCTTACGATTTTGTTCCCCGCCGTTCCACTGTCCCGCTCTTCACTGATCAGCACCCCAATGCAAGGGGCATTGTATGGTTTTATGGAATTATCCTGGGTTTCTAACAACATGGGAGCTTTAGACCAATCGAAGAACGCGTCACCATAACGAACTACCAAGCGTTTTTATCTAGATTGGCCCAGAACTACGAATCCAACCGGAACAGGCACAACGAGACTACATAGTAAGTCGCCAAGTCGAGTCGTCAAATCATATAGCGTTGCCTAGAAAAGAAATTGCCGACACGAAGCAAGGGTCTAAAGGCACAACAACATATGACTAATAAGTAGATGAATATCAACCTGCAGTATAGCATCGCGTTAGTTTTCGACGCAATACGCTGTCCACTTTCCGCTACTCCCCGAGTCTAGGTACTAGAACCTAACTTTACATAGTCGACTCACAACGCGTCAGATTTTGGCGTCTTGGTCGTTACATATGGCAAACTATTACGACGAGAGGCAATGATGACGAGAACGAAAATGCAAAACCGACGCCACGCGTATTAGTACCTCTATGAAATGTTTGTCACGACAACTTCGAAAATGCCGCACCTATAAAATCTCAAGCACCAGGTCAAGATGTGACGAGGCTACTTCGTGCCTGTCTATTGGCAAATCTAAAACGCCACGAAAATTTCATCACGACTTGCTGCAGACTGTCAGCCCCCTTTTCAGCGGGAGATGTCCTGTAGTCAGCGATTATGTTGATACTAACATGCACCAAAAATCGGTATGTCATTCATCATGTTCACTCGGCCGATACGTAGCATATTTCAACCCCCCTCAAAATGAGCTCCCCGGCATGAACCGAGAGATGCATGGTTAAGTATAGGTATGTTCAAATCTCTAGGGGGTGAGGGCCAGCAGAGCAGACGTCGGTGGCGATTACGTATTACATCGGGTTAGAGTTGTCGCCGCATCGTCTCAAGAAACAGGCCCTCGGGCCGAACCAGATCGGAACCAGCAGTCTTCCAGAAAATATCGACTTTCCTATTTCGGCATCACACTCCAACGTCTTTGGAGTAGCACTGAAGGGGGAAGAACGGCTAAGGCTGTTTCGGAGAGGAGTTTATGTACTGCTATGCGCATGTTGGTAGAAATGTTCGGTTCGGCCATTTCAAGATGGTTTTGCAACGGTATACAAATCTGGTAAGTATGATTCTGTATAGATGTCCGCCGCCGCGAGATAAATTGCTATACAACATGATAAGAGAGAGAGCGCTTCTTTAGTATCATCTTTTTGGAACTATCAATGCCGGTTAGTAAGTACCTACATGCACGTAGCCTTCCTACGGGAGCTTTTGATGCCCGATTTTCGCACTCTTGCATGCGTGTGTTACGTGCGCCGAGGAGTATTCCTCTTCTATGTCGAAGTGCCTCATATTATTCATGCGCTACCGTCGTATCATATCGCATTGCATCGCATCTTGCTTTATTGCTACAATATCGCTGCACTATCATCTGAAGTATCACGTTCGGCAAGTTTCATATATGTTGATGTTGCAATGAATTGATGAAGTTATTCCGAATGCCGCTCTAGATTTCATCAACTAAGTGACTATGAATGGATCTTGCTGCCGGTTATTATGTGCTTATTCAGTAACTCATTCAGTATATTTAGGGTTGGGTAGTACTGTCTCCCGATAACAAGCCACATCGGTTAATAGGTACCGTTATCTTATCTGTTTATAGAAATTGGGATGCATTTTAGATGGACCACTTCCTATTCGCAACTTCTGCCAATACATGTCTCGTTGCATGTCTTCAACCACCTATAACCCCTCTTTCTTGATACTCGTTACAAAAATTGGAGACATTTAAATAGAATTATCTATGCTAAACTACGAATATTTTATTATACCCGGTTTCGAACTCATATCTGACACAGAGCTGCACCACGGGATAGGTATCTCAACTCTTGACTTATTACCAAGCCTCATATCCTACCTTGAAGGAAAGACATGACGACATAAGAATAAAGCTATTCACATCAGATTCGCGTTGCATAAAGCTTATCTGAGACAGTGTCTTGCGAGGTGGCTCGGTAGTTGATGGCAATCTCGAAGCAGTGCTGTTTGGTCTAGAAACATGTTCGATAATCTAGAGTTCGTCCGCTCGGATATTCTGCATCCCACGAAGATCATCAAGCTTCTGAAACCATACAGAAAACCTGGGTCTGCCAACTCGCATCTTTTTTGTCGGAACTACCCGCCAAACGCGCCAGGTTAAACCTGGTCAACTAAAAATGGTAATTTAAGACATTGTCTTGGTAGACTAAAAAGCATGATCTGTAGAACAGTGACATCCGATGGAAAGCTTCGACTTACTATTAGGTATTTCAACAACGGAAGACTGCTAGATCGCGGGCCAAGGAGAGAAAGCCACCGGTATATGCCATGGCAAGTTTACATAGTCTGTTGTCTCATACATCAGCCAAGCCTCTAACTTAGCTAACAGTAGCTCGCAAACCCTAGTATCGGGATATCATGAAATGAAGCCTGAATAATAACGCTAAACACTTAAGATATGCCATATTTAGTACCGACAAATGGATATTCAAATACCTAGCGTACATATCTACCCAACGATTCTTAGACGATGGGTCACATTTGGAGGTCTCCATATGGATCACCTCGAACGCTTGGGCGAGTTCTCTAGATGCAGATGGCGTCGCATTGTGCACTGACTAGAAACGCTCTAGATGGCGCCATAGCTTTCTGTAGCGTAGCACCACTACCTCATTTTCGCACACCGGAGGGCTGGCTGATTCTGTGAGAAGGTAACCACATCAGACAGCCTGGTGAGTTAGAAAATATACTATTGTACATACATATGTAAGTAAGTATGCACGAGTCTTCTAGAACAGGTTGTCTTGGCCGCGCAAACCAATTACACAACAGGCAAGGGAAGATAAAACGGCTAGTCAGATCTAAGGTAGAGTCCAAAAGATATGTACTTCGGAAATCAGCCCGATCCCTGCTTACTGCTGCAGCTGTTAACAACCTCCTGTTTGCGGAACGGACCCCCGTCCAAGCCTCGCGACTCACGAGGGGATTCGCGTCGGCCGGCCCGATTAAGATGGGGAAAGCTGCGCCAGGGGGGGCCAGGCTGACTTGGAAACTTGGAGACATGGAGACAACTAACTAACACACACTTATTCTATCTTATCGATTATGCTTCAACTTCTTCCTCCAACGTTTCGAAACATGACGTCGAGCACCAACAGCGAAATTAACAACCTTGAGGGTTCCGTGACGACGACATTAGCGATCTCACTACCAATGTAGTGTACAAGCTAATATATAGCAGTTATAAATATTATTTACTAATAGAATACGTAAACACGATAGCACTATTGTTTCTACATCCCTGACTTTTGGGGTTGCCGACATCATTCTATTGAATAACCCACCTCTTTAGCAAGCGTAGATCTCTAGCGATCTACTAGAACACTAACTCGTGCTACATACAGATAGACAGACCGACAGACATAAGAGTTTCTATGCAGCGTAAATCAGCCACTACTATACGTGTAATTTATATCGGTGCCCTTGCGTCTAGGAGGATGGATGGGTATAGCAAACTCGAGGACTTGAAGGTGGTGTGATTGAATTGCTTTTCTGTTTGAATATTGCTTTCAATAGCAATCAACTAATACGATACGAAACGAACACGCGACATGGTTTATTCATAATTACTCATTATTGCTAATAGGTACAGGTTCAACCGAGCTTCGAACGACTTCCAACTGCCCATTAACTACGGGAGAACCCGTCACCACCAAACTCCTACCTATCCTATATCTTACTCAGCTATAAACCAAACAGCCCACCTAGTATATATATATATATATATGTAATTAAGACACTAGCTACCTACCTATAGCATATTTCATATAGACTACTCCAAGTTACCCTACCCTACGCAACTCAACTCAACCCCTCAATTTCAACGACCCTGGATTTTGTAATTTCAACCCTTGCTTCGGCCAGGGCGAACAATCAAGGAATACTTATACTGCTGCCTACCTATACATTACGCAATGACCGCCTCATCATGTTTCTATAGTTATAAGCACTAGTTCTATTACTTGTCAGTTAACTACCTATGCAGAACTTCACGAGCAAGGTTTCTTTACAAATATGAGTTCATCGCCAGGATACTGCCTTGCTAGTATGCATACCTAGCATTTCGACGACGTTTACCTAGTTTGCCAACTCTTTCGGTATTACCTATGCTTAACTCCCCATTGTCGAGGACTACCAAAACACTGGCAGGAAGCTCTGGGCATGTACGAGGCTGGTTTATACTTAGGGTGTCTGTGTAACTACCTACTTAGATAGGTAGACTTCTGAACTTGTTACTTACCTATTAAGTCTATTATTTCAGCGCCAACAGAAGCGAGTCGCTACAAGAGCAAGTGCTGTGGGTATATTCAAAGTCCGTTATCAAGAAGATACAGCTATATGAATGTACAATATGTAATTACTCCACACTGAGATATACCGATTGGATACGTTCAAATTTACACAGGAAGCAACTGTAGTGTAACATGTTTTAATACTTTACTACAGATTGCAGCTATGCGCTGTATACAACTAGAGCCACAATATATCATGCATCTAAAGTTGTTCTAAGATCCGTCTACCTAGCCTTAGACTTATGTACGACATTTCCAAGGGAAGAGGCATCTATCGCTCTTCGCCTTCCTAGTGAACGAACCCCTATTTCTTCGCCATCCGCTTCTCAATCTTCTCCAATTCCCGATCGATCTTCTTAAAGGACCACGACTTCCAGAAGGGAGGGTACAGGAACGGTCGAAGATCGAATCGGTTGTCGTCGGGGGAATAGGGGTTGCAGTGTAAAGCGGGTGTGAGAGTCGTCATTTTATGGCGGTTGATAGCGTAGAAATGGAAGAAGCGCTTGACCTTCTCCGCCACCTGAGCGGGTGTGTACTCAGGGGCGTCGTCGTCGGGTCCCTTAACGCGGTCGGCGCTCCAATCGTGGACAAGTCGTTGGAACATGCCAAAAGGTCCTAGCTTGTTTTCCTTACGTAGACGTCCGAAGATTGTTAGCTCCGCATAAGTCATTCCCATGTCCGCTTCGTCGCTCTGCACGTAGGATTCTGTCAGGGGCTCGAGTTCCGCAGTTGGCGTAGCAGTAAGGAAATCATGTAAGCACGGCAAATCGAAGTTTTTCTCAGCCCAGGCAATGAATCGCTTCAGATCGGCCTCTACATAACAGCCGATATTAGCAGTTATTCTTTACGAAGAACTCAGTAAATCGAGTTGAGAGATAACATTTAGTCGAAATAAGAAGGACGGGCTTCGTGTTGGATGGGACGAGGAGAGGGTGAAAACAAAGCTGCTCACTATCAATAGAACCGATCGGATTGATGTCCGCGCTAGATTACCAATAAATATTAGTAACCAGTATGAGCAATGAGGTCAAGGCTTATTGTAGGCAGATGATAGGTTTTGTGATATCTATCAAGAGTAGATAGAGCAACCGTATCTGATCCAAAGGAAGCAATATATATCTTGTATACTGACCTTGAACAATCATATCTTACAAAATTGTCAATATCTGAGTGAAAGTTAAAAGGGGCCGAGGACGTACTTTGTAAGGTAGCCACGAAGAGATTCTCCTACGTTCGCGCTTCCGAGAATAAGTAAACTTCCACCGCCGGGCCGGTTTCGAGCCGTCGGCAAGATTTGCCCAAATTCATAAGCCGTAACCATACGAATTCTTGCCTGCAGACATTGTAACGTGATGTTCTCCTGATGGGTTCCGCCATGCACCTTGAACTTCGGTTCAAAGTTCAAGGTGCTGACGAGAAGGGCCTTCTGAGAATTGTAAACATCGTCGATATCTAGGTTGACATGGTAGCTGCCGATAGCTTCTGCCAGGTCCTTTGCTCTTTGTCGCGTCTCGTGGGAACTCTGTGCCTTCATGCCCATGTAAATAGTCGAGAAGATCTGATTACAGAGCTCCTGTGGAGTCTCGGGGAGAACATTCTCGCCCTTATACTTAGCAATCCGTTTGACGTCATCGATCACTTGGGGATTTCCTTCCTTTACTGCATCCATCACGATACGGCACATGGACTGCAGCAACAAGTGTTAATGATCATGCCTAGAAGCTCCATATGAAATTAATGAAGAGGAATAGTAAAAAAAAAAAATAACATACGTAGACGATAGTTGCCGTAGCGCAAGAATCTATACCCCCTTTATATGTTATGCGGATTAGCAGCTACTTAACCCAATAAGTATGATCGGGGGATAAGGATAGGACATCACGCACCGCTTAGAGGAACGAGATACCCTGCTACACCCGATCGTCTCAGGTAATCCCAAAGATAGCATCCTGCTGAAAGTGCGACCTCTTCTTCTACGGTATGATATCGAAGCTTGATCGGCGGCGATGGACGCTTTTCAATATCGAAATCATCCTGCTCTGAACTGAGCTCAAATGCAGTCTGAATACGCTTATACTTTGCGCTGGAACTGGCAGCTTGCATGCCTCGAGAGATTGCCGACCGGTAGGCGCGGACTTCCTCGAGGTCCACTGTTGCTGTTACCACCTCGACATCGTTAAGGCTGAATTGAGAGCCCTGAGCCACAACATTTCCATTCACAATGATCATAGCTGAGCCATCGTAGTACAATCGGTCGCCATCACAGCCCTCTTTAGCCATATTAGTTTCAGCTCTTCAGCTGGGATCGGGCTTACTTACGTTGGTTAGCATAAAGATAGACACCTAAGGCAGGAAGAGTTAGTATCTATTGCGAACGGGATATATCATAGAATTCATCGAATGCTCATAACATAGCTCATATACCGGGCAGAACGCATTTAGTTAGGGGGTGTGCTGAGATATGGGGTAACAAACGCCTCATACTAACCCCCGCATTTTCTGGTAGCTTCCATAATGAGTTGGAGTCGGGTTTCAAGTTTTTGCAGTTCGAAATGCGAACCGCTAGAATTTGTGATGATTTCTACACCATCGAGGCTCATGGGAATGTGAGGCGCCGCAGGAGTAAAGAGCTCCTCGCACGTCTCTGCGCCCATGCAAGTATCGGGGGTGGAGATAACGGCATCACCAAAGGGTACGTGTGTGGCTCCTTGGATCTCTTGCAGCATACGAGGCAGATGATAATCTTCTACCTCTCGGGGATGCATCCATGGTGTGAAAAATCTCATCTCCCTATAGTTACCGTCATTTGCGAGCCACATCTTCGGTCTGATCATCAGGATCTTGGAATTGAGGCATATGACTCGGCAGTTAAATCGCTGGTTCCGATGCTGGATAGGCATACCAATATCTAGTAGTATGTCATGACAACTCTCATCAAGCAGGATTCGCCTTAACATCTCTAAGGAGTGCAGGTAGAGGTCCTGCTCCATCAGATGATCGAGACATCCATAACCGCATATTTCCAGCTATCATATCAGATTAGCAAACGGCGGATAATAGTACCAAGCCCGAATAGCTGGAGTAAATGATAAAAGCCTCACCTCTGGTCCAACACGCAGCCGTGCACCAGCATCTTTCGCTTTTTGAATGCTCTCGATAATACGTTGAGTATTTCCCTCCCACTAGAATATGTTGTTAGTCCCCCGCCACGGGTTAAGAGATTGATATTCTGCTGTGGGATCAATACTTACATCAAGGGCCCACTGGTTTAGCGAACAAGTCGCAACAGTCACAAGATGACCCATACCTGCTGCCAACAATAGTTGAGATGCGACGGTAAAGGGTTTAGTGACAGGTAAATATTATCAAGTTGTAAGTTGCGATGACTCGTTTGTTGATACGATAAGGTGGAGAGCTGTACCTATGTATCTAGAGGTATACATGCTTTGCCTGTCTTAGGTTAAGTTCGGATAAAGCTTTAAAAGTTTATGTGCAATTAGGTAACCTTCGCACTAGCAATTGACGTTTAAAGTGATTATGACTAAGAAGTACTTAAATTTGTATGAATTTATCACAGGAAATAAGTACCAAATACTCGAATTTTTCCTAAACAGGTAGTTGGTATTTTTAAGTCTCTTTGATAATACTGCCTAATAACTTTAAAATAAAATATAGAAGTCCTAAAGACTTTGTTATGTTTCTTATCAAAATAAGATTCTTGAACGTGCCATGAGGACTTCTCTGTATGTGGTCCGTGCTCTTAGTCCCGATAAGGGGTTCACAACCTCCTTTTGAAGCATTTCATAGGTAATTAAGAAATGAATGACTTCTAACTAAGGTTTTTTTTTATGAGTGAGATAGGTTGAGCTAATGGGGATATTTAATGTACTGGGTTTTACTAAGTTGTTCAGAAGTAGGATCGCCTCCTTACAACAAGCAGCAGCAGCCCCTTTAAGGAGATGACTTAGGTATTACAGAATACTAAGAGGCTTAAAAATACATAAAATTCATTTTTGACAGCTACAGTTGTGTTCAAGGCCTGTATTGTATCATCATGTTTATAAGTTTAGCCTTATAAGTAAACTGATCTATTAGATGATGACAAGATGATATATGCGGATACTACAGTCATCTACTGGGGCGAGAAGAATATTAGAAAATATTGGTTATATTACTAACATCCTAAAGTATAAAATAAAACTCGCATATCTCATACAAAGATAGATTACATTATGCAAACTCCCGCGTGTGATGTTATGAGTATGGCATACCTCATAAAGTCTTTACAACAGCATCATATCCTTTGGTATTAAAAAGGAGGCTTCTTAGAAAGGAGATACCTATCAAAGAGTAATATACTCATTATAAAGAACGAAACATATTCAAATATTTGTTGAGGAGAATGTTATCTCATACTCTGACCGCCACAATTATATAATGGCATTTACTGATTTATTGTGTTTAACGATGATATTGTGGGTTTAGCTTAGTCTTGTTCAGCTAAGTGTAAATCGGATTTTTTTGAACAGGTCGAGAGCGCTTGATAGTCTATTAACTTTCACTTTATTTATTGTTGTGGCTCGATTTAAACCATGTCTCTAGCATCTTACTTTATACACAGTTCAGCCTTATTATCCCAAAAGATGAGTATGCGGGATATTTTCCAAGATGGATAGCTACCCCTTTTCTTATAATCCCTTAATAACAACGACCATTAGAATACACGTATTGTACTGGAGCTATTCCTTTACTCCATGGATTCCATAGTGGGCTCTATTTAAGTCGGGACTTCCACTTGGGATTCTGTGGACGGGTTATGCCTCGTTGAAAAAAACTCACTTAACTCTAAATTATTCATTCTACGTATCCCAATTTACTCAAGTATGAGTTCAAGTACCCCCCCCCTATTTCGTGGTGTGAGATGCTCTGTGTACCTAATCAGAGGCAGAAGGTAGTGAACCAGTTCTCAGATTAGAATTTACTGAAAGAATAGCCAACTGCCGTCTGTTAGAACGACACTTAACATGCTTGCCAGCCTCATTGAGAAGGCCCATCAGGTCTTATGTCTAGACACCCAACAATCACCTCAATCATAGAAGTAGTTGCCCGATGTTACTAGGCTTCATCGTACGTGTCCATATCCTCGATATTTCGGCCCTTCTCGTCTGATCTTCACCGCTTCCAAGTACCGCTTTATTCCCGCAATTGTATGCCTTGGATGCTGCTAGGTGGCCAGAGTATCCATCGTTCGACTAGTCAACTGCGTAGAGAGTCTGGCCTCTGGGTTCGCGATAAAACACTACTGCAATACGGGTCGTCACGGCACCCGCATATTGGGTTGCGATATACGTTGGTCACCGCCGCTCTCTAGATCACGGCTAGGAACGGAAGATATGATATGATATCTTGCTATTTCCGACAGCACCTCAGCTGCGCAGTTGCCCCCTTACAAAAATTGGAACCTTTGTGCGACACTCCTGTTTATATAGCATGTTCGGTGTAGCATCGGCATCGCGACGGAAGGTTATCAAACCTGCTATATGTCTTCATCTAGGTGGATGCCAATCAACTCCTAATACGGGTCAAGGTGACACATGTCCGTAGGTGCGGGAATTAATATTAATTGCTAGTGATCTTGGCGCAGGAGGACTAGATGGTCAAGAGAGCCAATTGCGATATAGGAGGTCAGTATGGTGATCTACCGATGTAGTTGAAACCCGTGGATTTCGTAGGTATGGGATTTAATCCCGTTGTTATACCCGATGAGCTTAGATCAGTAATGAGTAATTGGTACCGCAAGCCGTCAACTCCGGGGGCTCCTGCGTATCATCGACTGGCTCATTTATATGCCGGTTGGGATTATTATCCCAAGAAAATATTCCGGGGAACCAACGGAGTAAAGCGTCAACCCTAGGGCTAGTATGTATTTAGAACAGCTGCAATGCGGTACAATTTAGTGCATAAAAACATCGATCCTTTATTTAAGTATGGAGATTTGAATTGCCGGTAAGGCTAAAATAGACTCAGCTTTAATACTAGGGTCATGCTGGATTCTACATCTCGATTATAAGTGTGTGAATATAATTTAGAGATCTCATTCTTTCATTATAGGGATTTGTCATATTGGAACTATACATCAGAGTTCAAATGAAGAATAGGTAGATACTGGTTTAAGATCGTATATGGAAGGTAGTTGGTAGCTAACCCTAACAACTGGATTTCATATTCTAAATTCAACCTTAGAAACATGAATAGACCTACTACTGCACTTAAGGCAAAGTTCTATAAAAATTTTATTTCTTAATAGATGGATCACGAAACTTTTGTCGTCATATCGACGTATTAAGTATTATAGAGAGCTAAGAGCGAAATCCGTCGGTGATATAAGCGTGTTCTATGTATATTTTATACATTAAGTTGGTGGTGACCGGATTTCGGAGAATATACTACTCGGGATTACCACGTAAATAGCACCAATCCGGTAGAACTCTACGCTAAAACCATTGTGTGACCCGGGAGCTAGAGGATCAATCCCGGATATTGGCCCGTTCAATTCAGACAATTAGATCCACTATTGCGGGGATGCCTCGGTCGAAGATACATGTTGCCCCACTAACACTCTCGGCGTCCGAACCGCGTCGCGAAAGAGCGGAACCAATACTATCCGGCTGACCCTTACAGAGTTATGAATGCCTATCGATTTTATCTAGAAGGTTTTCTGATATCTATCATCGATGTTGGTGGGTAGATCGTAAAAGTATTGACTCAGCTCTTTACATAGTAGCTGTACAGCTCAGCCTACATACGAATCCTTACACATGAGTAAGAGTAAGGTACTTAGAAGTTTAGAATGTAACCTAGATTCTAAGAGGGCTACCTAAATGGACATAAGAGGGAAACGGCAATCAAAATCCACTTATGCATTAGTGTCACACTAACATAGATGGGAAATGCCGAAGCTGTCACCGGTTGTCTTAATAAGCTTCATACTTGGTTGATCTAGTACTCATATGGTATAGAGTCATTACCTACGTCAAGCACGGAGGCTACGGATAGCTAAGGTTTCACTACCTGCTTCTCGAAAGAGATATGTAGATTTTTACGAGGGAGTTGCAACCGTTGAAGAATGTGGAGTCTAGATATACATAGGTACATGCATGTACCTACTAATGCTCGATATAGACTCATGTATCCATTCATGGAAGGATCCCAAGGTTCTACCTACATGTTAGGTAGGTATACGTACATGCCTTATGCAGCATAACCTACCTTCCTTACCTGTACTTTCTATATTAAAGTACGAAAATGTAGTAATATAGATATCTTTGGAAGTTACATGGCACCCATTTTAAAAAAAAACTAATCTGTGGTGGCGTGAGGACCACATTTTACAGCTGGCTTAGAACATCTAGTATAAGTGTTTTACGCCCAATAAATCATAAATTCTGTATCAACACGGTGATGTAATATAGAGAGAACCGTAGATCTCGCGTTCGGCATTCGCGAAATATACCTCGCTGTTAATAGGGTCGCATCTGCAGACGCACGCTACATTTAAGGCTATACTAGGTATGGAAGATATGACAACCCCAGCCTGACACGGCATATTTATACAGCTTAACACTAATATAGATAGGTATATAAGGAAGCCAAACACCTCTCAGGTAAGAGAGGGTTGTCTCATCTGAGTGAAGAAGAGAAAGCCTAAGACCAATCTACGAGAGCCCCTTATTTCAACAACTTCGAGGATAGATATATCACCATTGTATCATTATGAGCGGAGTTAATGACACGGAGGGTCCTAAATATGGGCGACGGCTTCCGCTCCATGTCGTTCAAGAGAGAGTAGCGACTGAACCAGATAAAGAATGGATTTCTATACCACGAGGCTCAGAGCCTGAAGACGGGTGGGAAAAGATCACTTATCGCCAGTTTGGAAAAGCAATCAACTACGTTGCGAAGAAGATCATTGATTTCGCTGGCCCGTCACCCGAAGGCCAGTTTCCAACAATTGCGTTTATTACACTGAACGATTCTCGTTACGTCTCATTTGCGTTCGGTGCTATGAAGGCGGGCTATAAGGTGGGATTCATCAGCAATATTCACGACAACACTAGGTACCTATTACTAACATTTATAGGCTTTATTCATCTCACCTCGAAACTCGACCGAGGGTCAGATTAAACTCTTCCAGGATACGGACTGCCGGTTTATTGCCCACTCCCCTGAATTCCAAGATTCTGTTAACTCCTGGAAAGAGTTACATGACTTGAAGAATTTGGTCGTTGCCCCTGAGCGAGAGTTCTACTACAATGAGGAACCGTCAACCATCAACTACGAGAGGTCCTTCGAAGAGGGAGAATGGGATCCCTATTGCGTTCTACACACTAGTGGAAGCACTGGTTTCCCAAAACCAATTGTTTGCAGACAAGGATGGCTCGCGGCGGTTGATTCATTTTATAGCAGGCCTCCGAGGAACGGCGTCCACCTCTGGACTGTGGAATTAACTCGAAGATCGGAAAGATATATTTTCCCTAGTAAGTGCATTAATTTGTCACGTTAAGAACTGCATCTAATGGTTTCGCCAGTGCCATTCTTCCACGCAGCCGGAATGTACATCTCTGTGTTCTTAGGTATTTATTGCGGAAGGCCTATTATGCTTCCGATTACTTCCAAACCTCTGGGACCTGATATACTTTGCGAATATATCAAACACGCTGGACCAGGCACAGCTACCTTATTACCGCCTTCGATTTTAGAAGAGATGAGCCATGTTCCTGAGTATGTTGAAGCGTTGAAGAAATTAAGCGTCGCTATGTTTGGTGGGGGTAAGTGAGATGATTTCGCTGCTCACAAATACGAGCCAGTAATTAATCGTACATGTTTCTAACGCTCTACGCAGGTAATTTAACAGCCCGTGCAGGGAACAGTCTTGTTAAGCAAGGCGTAAACTTGGCCAACCTCATCTCTGCCACCGAGTAAGTTACCTTCGATAAAACTCCTTCCCTACTGTACGTGGCAATAGTGTAATGCTAACAAATTAGAGCACCATACCCTTTCTTTTTCCAGACCAATCCAGAGCTGTGGCAGTACTTTCATTTTGATACTGAGCTGGCCGGCATGGATTTCCGCCCTAGTGACACCGACAAGGACGCATATCATCTTTTCTTCGTACGCAAGGATCGTTACCCTGGGGCCCAGGGCGTATTCTACACATTCCCAGAGCTCGACGAGTACGACAGCAAAGATATGTTCCGTCCGCATCCGACTCTTAAAGACCACTGGAAGTACGCTGGGCGCTCCGATACCGTTATAGTCTTCTCAAACGGCGAGAAGCTCAACCCGGTCACTACCGAAGAGATAGTGACCGCCCATCCAGAGCTCAAAGGAGTTCTAGTTGTAGGCCAAGATTACTTCCAGCCCGCAATGATTCTTGAACCTCATAACCACCCCCAAAGCGAGAAAGAAGAGAAAGAATTGATCGACAGAGTGTGGCCTCTAATATCTCACGCAAATAAGGAGTCTGTGGCCCACGGACGCATAGAAAGAGATTTCATCATGTTCTCAAAACCGGAGAAGCCGCTTCTACGAGCAGGGAAGGGAACTATTCAGCGGGGACTTAGTGTCAAGCTGTACCAAGATGAGATCGACGAGCTATACAAGAAGGCTGAGAATGACCAGCAAGCGAACGCACCCACCCTAGACATCAGCTCCGAGAGCGCCCTTGTAGAGTCTATTAAGAAACTCTTTGCAACTAGGCTTGAAACTCCGGATTTAGCCCCTGACGCTGACTTTTTCAGCGCTGGCATAGATTCACTTCAGGTGATCAATGCCAGCCGGTTACTAACCGCTGGACTCAAAGCAGCCGGAGTTAATGTTGATCATACTGCATTGGCTCCTCGCGTTATCTATTCAAATCCTAATTTCAAGGCTCTCGCTGCTTACATTAATTCTCTGGTCGAATCTGGCGGTGTACAGAACACAAATGAGGTCGAGCAGGCGGTGCAGACGATGAAGGCGCAATTTGAGAAGTATACGAAGGACTTACCAATAGCGAACACTACTAAGCCTCCGCCGTTGGATGATGGCCAGACTATCATAGTTACGGGTACCACGGGTGCCTTGGGTTCCTACCTTTTGGACCTATTGATTGCTGACAGCAAGGTCAAGAAGGTCATTTGCTTCAACCGTTCCAAGGATGGTCTCTCAAAACAGACCGAAGTCTTCCACAGCCGTGGTCTAAACACCGACTTCCGCAAGTGCGAGTTCCTCCAGGCTGACCTATCTTATCCCGACTTCAGTGTGGGCAATGAGAAGTACAACGAACTTTTAGGCACCGTCGATCGCATTATTCACAACGCATGGCCTGTCAATTTTAACATCCCTCTCTCGACCTTCGAGCCACATATACGTGGTGTGCGCCACTTCGTGGACTTCAGCGCCAAAGCCGCCAAGCGCGTTCCCATCATATTTATTTCCAGCATCGGAACAGTAGAGGCTTGGAAAGGACGTGTTCCCGAAGCGCAAATCACCGACTTTAGCATCCCTCTCGGGAACTATGGCCGCTCGAAGATGGTTAGCAGTTTGATCCTAGACGAAGCGGCAAAATTTTCCGGTGTTCCCACGGCGAGCATCCGCGTCGGGCAGATTGCGGGATCACGATACGAGAAGGGCTTATGGAATAAACAAGAATGGTTACCCTCTATCATCGCATCGTCCGTCTACCTCGGCATGCTTCCCGGTAACATGGGCAGGTTCGATATGGTAGACTGGATGGCCATCGAAGACGTGGCCAACCTCGTACTCGACGTGGCGGGTATAAACGAGCCGTTCCCCGTCGATAGGATTTCCGGGTACTTCCACTCCGTCAACCCAAAGACTATCACCTGGCAGGATTTGGCGCCGGCCGTGAAGGACTACTATGGGGATAGAATCAAGAGGATTGTAGACTCGAGCGAGTGGATGGAGGCGCTGAAGGCTAGTCAGGCTACCACGACAGACGTGAATAAGAACCCGGGCATCAAGCTCATCGACTCGTACGAGAGCTTTTTCTTCGGGGGCGAGAATACTATCGTGTTCGATATGGAGAGAACGCAGGAATATAGCAAGACGGCTAAGAACCTTGAGCCTGTGACATCGGAGCTCATGCGGAATTGGTGTAGGCAGTGGAACTTTTAAAGAGGCTTGTATTGATGGTCTCATATATTGTTGCTTTTTATGGGGAATTGCTTGTACTTAGCGCTTAGAATTTGATGTCTTTCATGATAATAGAGGTCTATTCGATTTGTTAACTCTAACATCTATTTTTCTACTATATGAGTTGATTAATGTGTTTTACAAGGGTACGAGTTCTATATTGTAAGAAATTCTGAACTCGTAGAAGGGGGGGTTAGGGGGTTAGATGGTTTAAGAAGGAGGTATGCACACCCTTTCTTTTAGGACTTAACCTTATAGACCTGAGGTAACTACGACTTCTTTATCCCGGCTGAAACCCCAATATTTAGATTTCTAATCTTAAGTACTTAAATTCTTAATATGTTGCAGTTAGGATGTAGTCTTGCCATCACCATCATCTAACATCCACCAGACAACGCCTTTCGGTGGTGTTCTGGGCCCTCTTACTATATTATACAACAGGGCCCAGAAGGAATTGTTATAATATTATCTCTCTTTCAGTAAATTGTCTGTTTTAATTACAGTTTTTATGGTACGCGTTACTAATGAATTACTGGCATGACGACGTACGAGTTGCCGGTGGCCGAGAGCCAACCAGCTCTCCTACTGGACGGTGAACTTTCCCCATTGGCTACTCCGTCTTACACTCCTTTATCCATGCCCGAAAGAGGAGAGTCTGCTCGGAAATCTAGACGACGTGGTGGTTCGCGGATGCTGTCTGTACTGAGATCATTGACGAATAGCGGTAGAGTTGCTTCTCTAATAGAAAATACTCTTTAGGACGACTCTGACATAACCTGTAGCTTCTGGCAACTCCGTCAGGGAACCTGCAACATGGCCGGCACCTTCACCTACCGAGAGATCACCTGGGCCGCGTCGACGCTTTAGGAAGTTATCCATGCCGTTTCTCCGGAGCCCCTTTGGCGCCTCTGTTACTGTTATCCATCGATTTAGATCTAAATCTAGACAGTCTTGCGCGTCTACGGAGAGAGTCGTCAACGATTCGCTCCAAGTTGTTTCTCCCGAGACAGTTGTTTCCTCTATCTCCAATGGAAATTCGTATAGCAATGGTAATACTACTTCCAGCGGCAAGTCATCCGGCCCGACCAATGGGACCGGTGGAACTGGCGGAACTGGCGGAACCGGTACCACCGGAAAGACATCTCTGGAATCCAAAGGGGAGTGCAATTTAGGAGAAAGGAAGATTATCAAGGCGACTCGTGAGAGAGAACAGGAGGCTACAGCAACTGCCGAACCAAACCTTACCCCGATTCAGGAGACGGCTCTCGATCTATCTTCGCCAACTATTTTAACCGTTGAACGAGCCGCAGCTGCAAAGATATTCCTTGAGAACTACTATAACGAAAAACTCACGAAGCCCAGCCCACGTACTCTTCGTCGTCGTTACTTAGAAGGGGAGCTGTACCATAATTCCAGACTCACGGAAGCAGAAAAGAATGCTAGGCGTCGTGCGTTTTATAAACAAGAGACAGACTATCTTCGGGAAATGAGAGTCTTAAATGCAAAGAGTATCGGAGCGGTACAAGGAAAACATAATCAACTTGCTGAAAACTATGAAGTCCTCAAGATTCTCGGCAAAGGAAGCTTTGGTGTCGTTAGGCTTGTCCGAGAGAAGACCCGCCCAGGCGATTCCGAGCATGATATGCGACAAGATAAGCGGGTATACGCCATGAAGGTAATACGCAAGACAGCAATGTTAAGAACGAGCCAAGAGGCTCATTTACGCGCGGAACGGGATTTCTTAGTTGCTTCTGAAGGCTCTAAGTGGTCAGTTTTTACTCTATTAATCTACTGAGATTGCAATGCTAATGATTAATACCACGGCAGGATTGTGCCTTTAGTCACTAGCTTTCAAGATGCCGCCAATCTCTATTTAGTCATGGATTATATGCCCGGTGGTGACTTTCTAGGCCTTCTAATCAGAGAGAATATCCTCACTGAGCCGGTTGCCAAGTTTTACATTGCCGAGATGATCCTATGTATCGAGGAGGCGCACTCATTGCGTTGCATACACCGTGATATCAAACCAGACAATTTTCTCATCTCTGCGTCTAGGCACTTGAAGATATCAGATTTTGGTTTGGCTTTTGATGGTCACTGGTCGCACGACACCAATTACTATCATACGCAGCGATACAGCTTATTGCAAAAGTTCAATATACCAGTAGAAGGGGATGCCATTGACCGTGCCGAAGGGTTACAAGGTTCAGTTAAATGGGCTCAAAGCGTAGCCCAGGCGATGCAGAAACATGAACGCCATCCACCATACCCAACCCCTCCTCCATCACCTTTATCAGATGAACCGCTCTTGAACTGGCGTAACCGGTGCGGTAATCGTAGCGCGGCGAGATCTTGCGTAGGAACAAGCCAATATATGGCCCCAGAAGTCATCCGCGAGGGTGACTACGATGCAAGATGCGATTAGTGGAGTGTCGGCGTCATTCTGTACGAGTGTTTATACGGCCACACTCCATTTCTGTCAGAAGAAGGCGGTCGTCAACAGACGAAGCGCAATATTGTCAATCACAAGCAGACATTCGCATTTCCGCCTCGACCCGTGATTTCGAGACGGTGCATGGATCTTATCGTCAACTTAATCTGTAAGAAAGAGAATCGTCTCTCATCAAGGCGGTATCGTTACCGGGATACAAACCCGGAGCCTATAGGCAGAAGTCGGCATCGTCGTGGATATCAAGACTGGACGGGAAGATCGGTATATCCCCACGATGGAGAGGATATCAAATCACACAAGTGGTTCCGTGACATTCCCTGGGACCGTCTGCAGCACATCCCTCCACCATTTATCCCACAGCTCTCAAGCTGCGAGGATACACACTACTTCGACGAAGAGGAACCGATATCTGACTGGTCCGAGTCTCAACCTGAAGCAAGCACTGAGACCGAAGGCTTAGTTCTAAACCCCTTAATCACATGCAACATCGTGAACGGTTTTCCTACTACTCCACCCCCTCGCCTAGTACCTTATAGAAGCCCAGAGAAGGTAGCCGCCATGCAAGCACAGCTAGCTTCATTCCCGCGCCACGTCCGCGGCGTCGTCGGGCAGTTCGTATCGGTGCCCTACGACTCGGCCAAACTCAAACGCATAGACCGCGAGATCGAAGTCATGGTCCCCGAAATGGAACTCTGCGACGAAATAAAAGTATTCATACGGACGTTCGGGCGTCGCGAGCGGAAACGGCCTCGTGATAGATTGCTAAGGGATAGAAATACAAAGGGCCCCGTGCTCGATGTGCGCAAGCAGACTGCTTTCATGGGGTACACGTACCGCCGCATGGGGGAGCATAATCCCTCGGGAATTGTCGACTGGGGCGTTGATACTGCGGAGGATGGTGGAGGGAAGAGTAAGGGCATCGAGCTGGCTGCTTATCGGGCTTGGTGTCAGGGACAAGCGGGCTGATGAATACTTGCTACGTCGTTGTTGCGTACGAGGCATATACTCGTTAGTGTATGGTGGGTGTAAAGGGGTAGTGACAACAACGATGGAATTTGTAGGAGAGAAGAAAGGAGAGGGGAGGAATAAAAAAGGAAAAATGGAGATGGGAGAAGTAACTGGCGTAGTCCAGTTACGTGAGTCGAAAATGAATAGTGTTAGGATAGTATCCCTACGCGTAACCTGTATATCTCTTCATGGTATCATCATCATCACTACCTAGGAATAGTTAGTCCTTAACCTAGGTAAAATTTCTTTTCCTCTAACACGATATTCATTCATCACTTCCTCATTTCTTCCCTAGAGTGATTCCTGGTTGAGGTTTAGGTATTTATATACAAATTAAAATTATATATTGTTCATTCATCTTCATCTTCATCTTCTGGTTAACATAAGGTATAAGGTATAAGGTACAAGGTATATATATAAGGCATCCCATCTAATCCAAATTCATACTTTTCATCCCCAAGGTGAAGTCATAAAATAACAAATCAATCAATCAATAAAAAAAAACCAACCCTCCCCCCTCCTAACTTACCAACCCTTCTCATTCCCACCAGTCCCCGCACTCGTACCTCTAGTATCATCCTCATCATCAAGCTGCTGCTGCGCGAGCCCATGGGCCCCACTAGCCGTAGCCTTAGCATTCATAATCTCCCACTCGAACTCGGCCAAGGACCGTATTTCCCCGCCGAAGAAGAGCAAGCCCATAAGTCCGTCGACGGCACCGGCTAGGAAACCGACGCTGCTTAGGACTAGGAAGGCGAAGGCTACGCCGGGGTGGACGTTCCCGACGAACCATACGGCGACGTAGCAGGCTACTACGACGAACGTCCATATGGCGAAGTGGATCATGCGCCAGCGGCGCTGCGTGCGCTCGCGGGAGGAGTATGTCCGGATGAGGGCGAGGACTTCGTCGTACGTGGTACATGGGAGGCCGTCGCCGCGGCGGGCGGCGGAGGATGGGGAGGCGGGGGAAGCGCGGAGTTGGTCGTCGAAGGAGGCGCGGAGGTCGAGGCGGGAACCGACGCGGTATTCGGAGCCGGTGGGGGATTGGAGATAAGTGCCGTGTTCGAGGGCGAGGAGGGAGGCGGCGTGGTCGTGGCTGTTGGATCGGTCGGAGGAGGATGAGGATGGGCGGAGGAGTTGTGTTTGCTGGGGTGGTTTCTTGGGAGAGGGAGGGCGAGAAGGGGAGTGAGGAGGGATGAGGTTGGGAGAGGTGGATGTGTGGAGGAGGAGGGTGGCTTCGACGGAGAAGTGGTCGCTAAGAGAGCAGCCAAGGTCGGGGTGGCGCGCTAACATGCCGACGCGGACGTCTTTGACAACCCAACCTTTGGTACGGCTGGCTTCGTTTGTGTCGTGGCTTGTTCGCGCTGCTGCTGCTGCCGCTGTTGCTCCGGGGGTGGAGCCAGGGGTTACTGAGACCTGCGGAGAGAAGAATATATAGTCCTATAGAAGAGTTAGAAATCAACATTTTTTTCAAGAAACCAGGGGATTATAATATGATAGATGTTAGGAGTAATGGCTCCTTGGCGAGCTATATCGGGAATTTCTGTCCCAGGAGACGGACTTAAAGAGAGAGAGGAAAGATGGAATATCACATACAATACGCTTGCCGCGCGGATCAGGTGCATCTGGCGGAATGACTATCGGCCGTTTCCCTGAGTGCAGGGCACGTTGTTCGGATTTGGACCATCTCCACGTATTATAAGCGCTGTTACTCGTAACACCGTTCTCGACGATGTTATACTGGGCAGAAGGAATCGGTTGCCGACGCGCGCGCTCCAACTCGTGAACAGCCGAGCCAAGAGACGAGTTTGGGTTCAGCACTCTCCAGGCGTCCTTGATAGGGGCATGTGCCGTTAACATGCGATATGACAACGACAGCGGTACATCATTAAAGTCACCTAGCGCGAGGGCCAAGTGTCCGCGCTCGGCGGCGCCACGGACGAGCTTAGCCATCTCCCAGGACTGAGCGAGTCGGTGGACTAGATAGCTGTCCGTCTTATCGGGCGGGTGCTCGTATATAGCATGAGTATGCGTATTAAAAACCTCAACGACATCGCGGTCACCAGGGCCGTACCGGATACGAGCGCACGCAACGCCCTTACCAACAAACCAGTCACCGCGGAAGAAGGCCGTAGGCCTACCGTTCAGCGGATACCGAAACATGGTGCTCTCCTCGATAGGCCATCTCGACAGGATAGCCAGACCGCCGCCAAAAACACCGCTGTAGTAGAACTTGCCGAAGGGCAGCACGAAACGCGTCTCGCGCCGGATGCTGCGGTAGTCTTCTTGCGTCCAGCATTCTTGCAAAGCGACGATGTGAGGCGGGGGGTCCGCGGAGGCGAGCTCGCGGCCGATGGCGGTTAGACGCTCGGCGCGGTGCTCGCTCAGGTGTAAGAGGCCCCAGCAGTTGAGGGTGATGACATTGAGCTCGGTGGGGAGGTCCTCCATCTTGAAACTCGGCCGCTTGGGTTTCTCTTCCCTACGTAGTCGTATCTGGTTGTCTCCGCCTGGATGGATACTTGGTGTTCAGGCCACCGTGGGGAAGAAGATGGAGGGTGGGTAGTTCCGTCTATATAAACAGCTGCTCGGGATTTTTTTTCTTTTTCTACTTCTCTCTTCCCCTTTGCGGCGTTTATCACTGCCACGTTTTTTTTTTTTGCTGCCCCCGTCGTGCAGTATGTATGTAGGAGCTGCAGCGTGCTTGGACTAGGATTAAATGATCCTTTGGGTCAAGGCTGTCATTTTAATAATGTTTACTACATACATGTACACATATTATGTAGGTATGTAGTAATTGTCTTTAAAGTGAGATGCACCTTAAGCCGTGGAGGAGTAATAAGCTGCTCACTCCTGACTGCAGAGCTAGGTTCCTGAAATTGACTCTTGTAGTTGTTGTAAGATAAAACTTACAAAAACTCGTGAAGAAAGGAGGATTGTTGCGATACGACTCAAATCATTTGAAATTACTTGGATACAAACTACAAAAACCACATGTTACTGCTCGTGTTACTCGGACATACACTACATATGTATGTATGTACATATCGCTAGCGATACTAGGTTAGGATACAGATACTAGGATACTAGGATACTAGGGATAACCATGGTGCCTTTTCCTACAGGGATCCCACAATAGCAGTTCGTTATTTCCTCATTAAAAGCTTCCATGCTTAGCCTTGTCATGCCTGTCTTTGCGTGCATAAGAAATCATAGAAATATACTTTAGAGTTGCAGTCCCCCTGCATTGAACTTTCATCCAGATCGGCATCCATGCCGGCTTCTTTCTCCTGGAAAGGGTAGGACTTGCCGAGAACGATTGGTAATTGTCTTTTACAGTTGCCATGCGCACCGTATTACACTGTGTTCACCGTTGATTTAAGTGAGGCGCGTGCTCGACGCGATAAAGATTAGCGGTATTATAAAGTGGAGCTGCGATAGGGTAATATAGTCCAATTATATCCCGATTTGATAAGAAGACCCCGCTAAAAAATATAATTCCAATCAGCCTTGTCATGTCGCGTCGTCGTCACATCACATCACATGTATCTATTTCATCTAAGCAAGGCTGTAATATCTCCTATCTGATCTGCTTGCCTTGCCCCTCGATTAAGATATAGCTTCTCAATCGATACTATATCCTGACAAATGACCCCCCGGTAGTAAATACAAGGCTCTTCTACAGCGAAGACATCATGTCTGGCGTTGTTGATACCACCGCCACCGCCCCCGAGCCACCAACTAAGCGTCGCAAAGTCCACGATGACGATAGTATCGATTCGACCCCTGTTCCACACTACGACACCCCAAAGGAGAAAGATGGCAAGCATACCCTTAGCGTCTCCATCCGGGAGAAAACCGTAGACAGTCGCTCTGAGAGCCAAAGCCCCAGTCGAAGTCGAAGCCGGAGTCGCGAACGTCGCCGCGAGACAGATTACTCCTCCGATGAACGTTCGCCGCGCCGCAGTAGATCCCTCTCCAGTTCTCGCTCACGTATACGCTCGCGACACTCAAGTTCCGGCAGTCGATTATCAAGCCACTCACACTCACGCTCACGATCCCGAACCCCAAGATCACGCTCCCGCTCCCGCACCCGCACCCCCTCAGACTCGCGCTCCCCTCGAGCCGCAACCTCCCCCCTCCTCCGCAACACCCACGCCCCCTCCTCCTCCTCCCCCACACCGCCCTCCCGCCAACTCGCTAAACCACACTACACCCCGCGACTAGTCCTAGCCGGGCACGCGCGCGCGATATCGCAAGTGCGCATCTCGCCCGACGGGGAATGGATCGCGTCGTCGTCCGCGGACGGGACCGTGCGCATCTGGTCCGTGGCCACGGGCCAGCACGCCGAGACCCTGGTCGGCCACATGGCCGGCGTGTCGGCCGTCGCCTGGGCTCCCGACAGCAAGACGCTGGCCTCGGGGTCCGACGACAAGGCCATTCGCCTGTGGGACCGGGTCACGGGGCGGCCGGCGCGCGCGGGCAAGCCGTTGCTGGGCCATCATAGCTACGTGTATAGCCTGGCGTTCTCGCCCAAGGGGAATATCCTGGCGAGCGGGAGTTACGACGAGGCGGTTTTCCTCTGGGATGTGCGTGCTGGCCGGTTGATGAGGAGTCTGCCGGCCCATAGCGATCCTGTGAGTGGGATTGACTTTTGTAGGGATGGGACGTTGGTGGTTAGTTGTAGTACGGATGGGTTGACGTGAGTTTATTTTTTTTAATTCTTTTTTTTACCTTCCTCTCTTACTTGCCCTCCCCTCCTTTTAAATATTCTTCAGTGTTGTACAAGTAGCTAACTATTGTTTTTCTACAATACAGCCGAATATGGGACACATCCACAGGCCAATGTCTGCGAACCCTCGTGCACGAGGACAACCCTCCCATAACATCAGTATGCTTCGCGCCCAACGGGCGGTACGTACTAGCCTTCAGCATGGACTCATGCCTACGACTATGGGACTACGTCTCCGGCACCGTGAAGAAGACATACCAAGGCCACGAGAACTCCAAGTTCAGCATCGGCGGGTGCTTCGGTACCGTCCCTACCACCACCATCGCCACCACCACCACTACCACTACCACTAAAGATATCGACGACGGAGAGGAAACCGGAAGAACAGCAACAGCTTTTGTAGCAGCCCCCAGCGAAGACGGCGACATCGTGCTCTGGGACGTCCGCACCAAGGAGATTGTGCAGCGCATCCGGCGCGCCCACGATGGCGTGTGCTTCTGGGTCGACGTCCACGGCGACACCATGGTTAGCGCGGGCCAGGACGGCAAGATCAAGGTATACAGACATCAGCAAGCAGGAGATGCGAGTGCCAAAAAGGTTAACGGCGTATCCCCCGAGACGAAGGAGGCAAATGTGGATGTGGATGTGGATGTGGATATGGATATGGGTGCTGAGAAAGACGGGGTTGAAGGAAGTGAATCCCCTCTGAAGGATGAAGATGTCAAGAAGGAAGAGTAAAACCAGCCAGACGAAAGAGGATAGACATACGAGCTTGACCTTGCGGTAGATATTAGGTATAATCAGGGGCTACCAGGTGATAGCCGCAGGGTAATTGTGTCGAATAACTTAGACAGTGCAACATACCCATCCCATAATTTAATGCACAACTAATAAAAGACCTCGATTTATTTTCAATCAGACAAGTACCTAGACTAGGCTACCCGGGACACACATCACCACGAAACGACCATCTTAAGATATTAGGTAGGTCAAGTCAACTTAAACAAACTATCTATTTAAATGCATCCTCTCATCTATCCATACTTTTTGAGACGGTACCTAGGCGGTGAAGCCATGTAATATACTCATAGCGATCGCATTCGTTAGCATAAAACTTCGCATTACATCATGATTGATTGATCGATTGTTGTATACTCCCTTCTTCTTGTAGTATACCTACAACCAATAACGTCCGTCTTCGTACCTTACAGAAGAAATATTGAGGGTTGACCACAACGCCGGCGGTTATCCTCACTTCTGCTGTCATTCCTTACAAGCATCATATGCGCAGGAACTTTCCCTTTACCTCGCGCCTATATAGTCTCCCACCCGCCACTATTAATGTCCGCCTCGAGCTTTCTGCTGATGAAGCTAGGGATGCCGTGGCTAAGCCACATGGTGCGCAGCATCGAATCGTAGCGCTTCTGATTGAGGAAGAGCTGACGCCCGTGGCGTAACCCGATATCCACCTCGCCGTACTTGTCGATGTACGGCGCACTGCTGAAGCTTCCTGACGTACGATGCAGGTAGAAAATAGCGCACTTGCGAATGTTGATGAACAGCCCGATATTGCCCTGGCACCTGATGGATAATATTAGTACATCTGGTATACCATGTCATATAATGAAAAGTGACTTACTTGAACAGCATATGTTGCTGTGCACCCCCGATCCTCATCACAGGCTTGTCCGGCCCCGGCTCTGAGTATTCCATGGTACAACACATGGTCTGCCCGCAGAAGATGTCACCGCACATTAGACAAACCATAGGATCGGTCAAGTCTTTACCGGTCTTAGGGCATCTTCTCTTAGCGGACTCCTCGATAAGAGTATCAAAGTTCTTAGGTAAGCCGACGAGTTCGAAGATGCCAGGATGACTTAGTTGGGCGGATCTGGGCAGAGTTTCTTCGATCCCCTGTTCGATAGCAAAGTGCGTGGCTCTGGCGCGTCCGCGTATTTGGTGGCGGAGCCAACCGTCGACCATAGCTTGTGTGCGCGGGGGCCAACCAAACTGACTACCTAAGGGTGTTAAAGACGCACACATTTCATCGAAGGATGGTAATCGCAGCGCGGCCGTCAGACGTGAAAGTTCGTCCGCTTCTGGAGCCAGAGATATGTGGCTATTGAAGTCAACTCCAAGGTGAACATGGAGGAGAATTGCTACTTTTCTTAAGAACACCAGGGCGTATTTTTTAACGAAAGAATGGAGGTTTTCTAGGCTATCAAAACCCGGTTGATCGAACCCAAGGTTGGGTAGATCGTCAGACGGTACCAGGAACTCATCCCCGATCAGGATTTCGTGGCTGACGTTCATCCCAGCCATCGTAATATAGTGGAAGAAACTAGCGAAGTTGTTCATAGCGGGGTCTTCTTTATTCCGGTTGTTCATATATTCAAGCCATCTGGAAAGCGTTAGGTTCTGAGATACGTTGTGGACAACCTTGACTATCTCAGCAAGATAGCAAAGCCGGACTAAATGCATCGGGTCCATGTTCTGCGCGACGGAGACGCCAAACATAGCCTCGCACAAGAAGACGAATACATCTTGACTTAGAAGCGGTGGGTGCTCGTCGTACGGGGGTAAGGTATCCTTTGCGTCCGTATTAAAGTAGGCCGATATGAAGAGTTGGAAAAACTGGCGCTCGCTGGACTTGCAAAATTCTCGCTCGATATCATTAGCTCCCCCATGTCTAAAGCCACCAATTGCTATATATGACGACACCGTCTCGGACAGAATTCGAAGTTGAACTAGAAGTTGCTCCGGCATCCTTTCAATCAAGGTCATTCCGTACTGGGCTTCGACGCCTCGTTGTTGTATCTCTGCCGCAGAAATCGAGTAACCCACAGACTGGGCTAATACGTCGCTGGCATATAACTCTTCGTCCCTGCCCTCGTGTACGAAGGTCGCGGGCACAAGTTTATTCTTACGAAGCGTATCACGTAGTCGTCGATATATTAGCATCAGCTCCTTGTCACCGTGTTGTGATTCTGGCGGCGAATGTGACCGTACACTTGACCCGGGCGTAGGTGCGAGGGAGAATGTGTCACTGGAAGCTGCTGATGGTACAGTCCTAAAAGTATTGGGATCCCAGAACGGCGATTGGCTGGCACTAGACTTCTCGAACAGACCCTCTGGCATTCTTGTACGCAAGTAGTTGATGAAGGCAGTTTGGCTCTGATCTCGTGTTACTACTGCAGAGTAATGACGCCCTGTCATAAAGGTAGATATGAAGGAAGAGAAGTCTGTATTAGGTTGCAATATACCAGGGTAAGCCTCTTCTTTACCATCCCAGGTGATAGGCAAGAAGGCATTACCAAGGGCTTTGCAGAGAGGACACACAAATTCTAGACGCTCCAGGGATTCGGGGTGGTGACGTGCTATCTGATGCCCGTGTCGACGGAGGGTCGCTTCCATATACATATCGAAGCAGCTGAAATGCATTATGTGACCACATCCGACAGAGACTGGCCCTGACCGACAGAGCTTGGCTGGGAAACCTTTGCCAAGGCCTTGCCTTTCGTTGTGGAATACCTGTCCATCTTTATTGACCTTTTCTACTGTCTGCCTGTTTTCATGGGCAAGGCCAAACGGACGGATTGCCTCGGCCGAGCGATCAAGGTTGACCGGAGTATTTGCGGCTTCTCTAACGAAGTCCGGGTCTTGGAGGTCAGTTTGTCGAAGGATTTTGCTCTTGGTAAAGAGTGCGAAAGTCCCGTATAGGCGTCCGTCGTCGGTATCTTCTTGGCATAATATGCAGGTACCTCTTGGATATTTCCAGAAGTTCTTCTGCTCTTCCATAGGCTTAGATTCATCCATGTCATCCCATTCGTCTTCGCCCCAGTCAAGATCCCCCTGTTTCTCCAGGAAGTTCTTTTGCTGCTGCTGAAATTGTGCCATGACTCTGGCTTGGCGGTCAAGTGCTGCTTTCTTCTTTCGTTCGCGCTCCTCTTCGGCACTGTGGGCATTCGCTGGCGACGCGGTATCGATCCGATCCGCAGGTATACCTAGTCGCGAGTAGGCCGTATCGAAGTGGCGCGGGTATTTCTGCTTCATTCTCCTCAGGATCAGTGCGATCTTGGCGTGGCAGGCTTTGAACTCCTCCTTAGTCGACATCATGTCCAGAAGGGACACGATAGTCTTTGCATCTGGAGCATCCTGCATGAAGTTACTGCGGGCAGACGTCGTCAGGGCGATATAGACGAAGGAATCAACCCCGGCCGCGGAATCCGTCTCGTTTGCTTTATCCTCAGCAATAGCAATGAGAATCAAATGTAGCACAACCTGCAAGAATGTCTCTACTCTAGTGAACGGGACTTTAGGCGTTAATTTAGCAGCGACTAGAGGGTATAGCAAGCAGTAGTAGATGATCTGTGCAAACATCCCGGTACTGGTAAATTCAGCCAGCTTCACAAAGGCACCAGATTCGATGGGGCGTAGCTTTGGCTCGTACACGATTTCTTCGGCAGGTTTCCCAGTCTTTTTAGAGATCCACTTGCGGTATGCGGCCTCTGATTCCTCCCGCTGATTCTTATTGTAGTGGGCAATGTATGGGTCAATATCCTCGATGAAATGAGGCTTAAGTTCAAAAGTTCCCACGTCAGAGACGCCTTCGGGGGACTTGAATGTAGCTACCTCATCTAGCACGCGCTGGAAGTCTTCTTGCTCGTGGAACTTCTCCGGTAGTTTACTTGATATCTCATTGAATGATAGAGGCCGGAAGCATAGAACATGCGTGATGTCCCTGCGCATCGCCATTAGATGCGTCTGCTGCTCATCCTTAACCGGAATTAGCGAAGTTCGGTCGCTCAGTAATACGATTAAAAAGTGAACCATATCTTCGACAACATCAAGATGTTGAATCTCATCCTGAGCGTTCGAAGTCTGTTCGAATAACCCCTTGATCCAGCTTTCCATACCAAAACGGTCAACAATCGAGGCGAGAACCCGGCTCGGGTTACAGACCACCATTGCGGTCTGGAGTAGGAAGATATCTCGCGCATGCGTAACATCCCTGTGTAGAATATTTTTATACGTCCCAGCTTGATGCCTCAAACTAATGCCATTGCGCACCCACATTCCAGCCTTAATCTGGGCAAGCCAAGTGCAAACACGTAGAGGATAGTCAAATGCGGCCATAAGATAGTCCTCGGGGGTATAATCTCGCCTAGGCATAGTTTTTCGGCCCATTGACCGAGGCTTCATCTTCAGTTCTTGCGAGGTGAAGTTCAAAATCGACTTGAGTTCCTGCTGAGACATGTGCTTCCCACACTCGATCAACCATGATAGAGTGTAATGTAACGCGTGGTGAAAGCTAATAGACTGCTCTCCCACGATGAACCTGACCACTTCAAACTTGGCTGCCTCACCGGCGAATTCAAAGTCACACAACGTCTTGAATCGCACTTCCTCTTTAATTTCAGCCTGAGTAAATCTGGCACGCTCCGCTCCAACCGAGTTGATGATGACACTCTTAGCTGCCGTTCGTATAGCCTTCTCGAGATATGGGAGATCTTGTTCTGGGAGGCTCCGGAAAGAGCCTGATAGAAGCCTGCAAAGCCTGTTGATTTCTCGCGTCATCAACGAGGCGCCGATCCAACTATCAGTTTCGTACTCCACATGCTCGCCAACGGCTCGAATGTTCGGGCAGATACCCTGATGAAGCTTCACTAGGTCGAGAAATTGCATTAAGTATCTTTCTTCGGTCCTCATGCGCTCCTGCACATGAGCCGAACCGAGGA